AAAAAAAAAAAAAAAAAAAAACAAAAAAAAAACTAAATCCAGGCCTGTTCACTGCAACTCCAATTGGAACCTTGCAGAATTCTTAAAACAATTACTGCTACAATATAGATTTCTAGAGGTCAAAGATTTTTGTTACTAATGTATCTTAAGCGCCTAAAACAATGCCTGGCACATAGTAGTCTCTCAATGAATATCTGTTTAATGCAGAATGAATTAAGGGCCTACTATGTGCCACGCTGGGGCGCCCACTCACACAGACTTTCCTCTTTCTGATCACTTCCAGTCAGGCAGCAGAGGCTGCCGTGAGTCCTCCCATCGCTAGGGCCGCTGTCGGAAACGCACAGTTTCCTTCTCACGTCACCTTCCATACCCGAGGTGCCTTTTGACCCCGTGAAGTTCGCTGCCCCAAGTAAAGATGGCTGCGTCGGTGGGCGCTGCTGCCGGGCGACTGCGGCGGGTCATCTGCAGGATGCCCCCGGGGCGAGATCCCAGCCGTAGACCGCTCTCATCCGAGCCCCGTCCAGCCCGGGCCACGGCCGTGCGGCAGGCCTTCTTGAGCTTTTTTCGGGATCGCCATGGCCACCGACTAGTGCCGTCCGCTTCCGTGCGGCCCCGCGGCGACCCCAGTTTGCTTTTCGTCAACGCGGGGATGAACCAGGTGGGCTGAGCCAGACAGATTGGGAGCGGAGTTTGTGATTTTTTTTCCAGAGAGAAAAGCGCTGTGGGATTGGGCAAAAGAAGCGAGGGAGGAGCTCATAGCTTTCGGGAAAGACTGCGGTGCGTGGTTGGGCAAGGGAGTGGGGTGTGCAGATTGGGGTTTGGGGAACGCTTGACCTGGGTTGGGACTGAGTTTTAGGCCCAGAAGTGGTGCATGTGGAGTTCTATGGGGGCCGATTGGGGGTGGGGGGGTAGGGGGAAGTTTGGCTTCATTTCTTCATTCTTTAAATAAAAGTAATTCACTCGTTAAATAAGTGATTATTGAGCACATATTTTGTGCTAGCCTATGTTCTGTAAGCTTTTGACTTTGAACACGACTTACCCTTTCAAAGCCTCATTGTTTTCATCTGTAAAATGGGCGTGGAGGGGAATAATAGGTGAACCTAGCTTAGATGCTGTCCAAGATTCCTACTAAATACTGACATTGTGAGGTGTGTCCAGTACCCTGTGGTCTCAGTTTTATACCCTGAATTTACTGGGTGTGGTTCTTAACTGAGTTGGAGGATGCAGCCATTCATTGCCCTGTTTTCAAGCACCAGCATATTCCTCCTCCTTTTATCTTGCCTATTTTACTAGCAGAGGGTCTCTATTTTATGATTTACATACCTTTATTTGCCTCACATACACCAGAGATGAGCACCTCCAGGCTCCCAGGTTGCGCCTTTGGCCAGGACCACACTGTACTCTCACGGACATGGTCAGGCTTCAGTCTGAGCAGCCATCTCTGTTCCCACTCCCCACCTTTCCCCTCTACTGAAGGACTGAGATACCCCTCTTCCCCTTCTTCGTGTGTTTCCAGTTCAAACCAATCTTCTTGGGTACTGTGGATCCAAGAAGCGAGATGGCAGGCTTCCGACGTGTGGCCAACAGCCAGAAGTGTGTGAGGGCTGGAGGACGCCACAGTGACCTAGAGGATGTGGGCCAAGACCTTTCCCATCATACCTTCTTTGAGATGCTTGGCAATTGGGCTTTTGGAGGTGAATACTTTAAGGTGAGTCTCTAGGAAGTCCTGGAATTAACAGAGTCAGTGGTCAGCCAAGAAGGAAGTCAAGATTAGTCCTGTCTCTCTCTACTCCTAGAGTTTGCTAAGGCAGGGCCTCACACCAGAGCTAAAGTGCTAGATGAGTATGTATAATAGGTGTGTGTGTCACAGCCCTAGTTGGATCATAAAGCTCCCTCAGAGCCAGAAATGTACCTCCTGCCTAATAGCTGGTCAGTAATTGTATGAATAAATAGTCAGACAGTAATGCTGAAATGCAGGAGTTAGAAATTACCCCAGGCTATGATAGAGGATTTCATAGAGAAGGTGGAACTTGAAAGAGTAGGATTTAGAAGAGGGAGGAAGCTTTCTGAGCAGGAAAAAACTCAGAAGCAGAAATGATCATGGCTTATTCTGGAAACACGGTGGGCAGTGAAATTTTGTCTTAAACTCATGTGGCTTGATTGACCCTTCATTGGGGGCCTTCTTCTCACCCATCTTCCTCTTCCCACTTCATGTGGGTTTCCATTGCAGGAGGAAGCTTGCAGCATGGCCTGGGAACTGCTGACTCAGGTCTACGGGGTCCCTGAGGACAGGCTCTGGGTCTCCTACTTTGGTGGTGACCCCAAAGCAGGACTGGGTCCAGACCTAGAGAGTAGGGACATCTGGCTGAGCTTAGGGTAAGTCCACCCCCTGTTATGTGCACTCCTGGAGGCCAAGGGAACTGGGAAATAAAGCCTATCAGCACCAGTCCTCAGAGTCTCAGCATATTCCAGGATATGGTGGGGTCAGCCCTCTTCTTCCTCTTGCTGAGCTTGATGGGGGTGCCGTCATGGCAGAGACGGTCCCAACTTCTGGGTGTGCCTGTCTCCCCACCACCCACCTGTCTTTCTTCCCAGGGTGCCTGCCAGCCGTGTGCTTTCCTTTGGACCACAAGAGAACTTTTGGGAGATGGGGGATACTGGCCCTTGTGGACCCTGTACCGAGATCCACTATGACCTGGCTGGTGGTGTGGGAGCCCCCCAGCTGGTGGAGCTTTGGAATCTGGTCTTCATGCAGTACAACAGGTAATGGGGTGCTGAAACAGGAGAATCCCTGGCTGGAAGTGAAAAAGGTGGCAGTCAGGAGACTTTGACCCATTTCTTATAAAAATAAACACTTCAGTACTGCCTACTATGTGCCAGGCACATTTCTAAACTCTTGTCAGATAATAACTGATTTAGTTCTAATTTTTGCCCATGACAGTTTAAACTAGTCACTGGTGCTCTCTGGCCTCTGCTATTTTATTATATGATGGAGTTGAACTTGATGATCTCTAAGATTTCCTTCCAGCCTTGACAAGTTTCTTTCTAAGGGCAAAGAATTCTGTCCCAGAAAGGAAATGTATGTGTGTAAGCAAGGGCCCCAGAAGGGATTAAGGTGGGGGTAACCCTTTATAGGCACACAGCCATCATGGTCTGTGTTTCAGGATGGGGGAAATGGTACTACCGTCTGGTTCCTCCCACTGTCAACCCCTTTGGACCCCTGCTCATTCCTCACTCCTCCATCTGCTTCATACCTGTAATCCCATGTGGAGCCTCACCTTGCTCACCTTCTTGCCAGAGAAGCAGATAGAAGCCTGCAGCCCCTGCCCCGGAAGCATGTGGACACAGGAATGGGCCTGGAAAGGCTGGTGGCTGTGCTACAAGGCAGATGCTCCACCTACGACACTGACCTCTTCTCCCCACTGCTCAGTGCCATACACCAGGTGAGCCTGCCTCTTCCCTCCCAGAAGTCTGCAGGTTGCCAGTGCTTGCCACTATTACCTTGTGTCTTTTGAGAACTCATATATTCCCACATGTGGGGCAGTGACCAGCCAAGGATACCAGGGTGTCAAACATGAGGCTAGGATTCACATTTATTACCTAACTCCTTACTCTTTCCTTCCTTCATTTATTCAAAAACTAGGTGTTGCGTGCCTACTTGTATTAAGTTCATTGTGCTTGGTACAGGAGATACAACACTAAAAGAGATCATGGAGACCACAATCTGACCAAAAAGGTAGATAAAAAACTAAATGTTTTAACGAAGAAAATAGCAGCTTACAGACTGTGAACAGATAGTAAACATAGGTGATAATAATTAGGAAGGAGGGTAGGTACAGAGGAATCTTAAATGAAGTGTTTGGGGAAGGCTTGCCAAGAAGATGATCTCTGAGCCGAACCGTGGGAGAGGAGGAGTCAGCCACAGGAAGCTCATTCCAGGCAGAGAAGACAGTAGGTGCCAAGGCCCTCAGGCTGGAAAGGAACAAAAAGATGGCCAGCCAGCTAAAGTAGAATCACATGGAATGTATTCAGACAGTCTGTTAGTTAACTTTTCTGTAAAACAAAACTACTTAATACTTTGTAACTTCAACAACCATTTATTTAGCATATGAGTCTGATTTAGCAGTGTAGGCTGGGCTTAGCTTGGTCATTCTCTGGTCTCATATAAGCTCACTCATACATCTGGGGTCAGCTGCTAGGCAGCTCTACTCCTGGGGGCTGGCCAGCTGTCAGCCGGGGGCAGTGGGGTACTGGGCTGTGTGTCTGTCATCCAGCACACTGGCTTGTGTTTGTTCACATCACAGCTTGGCAGGTTCCAAGAAGGAAAGCAGAGCGCATGAGGCCTCTTGAGGCTTAGGCCCAGAGCAGTGTCATTCCCTCCACATTCTGTTGGCCAAAGTAAGTCACAAGGCTAGCGCACATTCAAGGGATGGAGAAGTAGGTGCTATCCCTTGATGGGAAGCAGTCACATTGCAAAATGGCATGCACACAGGAAAGGAAATGGTTATGGCCATTTTTATAGACAATCCTCCACAGAGAGGGAGATAGGAATCAAATCCGTGGGCCCTTAAAATCCAAAGCAGGCCTTTATTCCAAGTGTGGTGAGAAAGGCTGTACGTGGGGAGGGACATGATCTGCTTGACACTTTTCAAAGGCCAGTCCTTTTGCTGTGTGAAGGATAGGCTGAAAGGAAATAAGAGTAGAAGTTGAGAAACCAATTGAGAGGCTATTTAGTAATTCAGGGAAGAGACAATAGGGCATAGCTTAGGCTGGTAGCAGTGCAAGTGGAGAGAAGTAGATTGATTTGCAAAATCTAACGGACGTAGAAGCAAAAGGACCCGCTGTTGGGTTGGATGGGGAGGGAAGTTAAGGCTGGCTCTCAGTTTTTTCCTTGAGTACTGCAGTGAATGGCAGAACTGTTTATTGAGGGGGAAGCTTGGGGACAGATGGCTTTGGGGCTGGATGAATTATGGACTCCGCCTGGGAGCAGCTACATGCACACACAGCCTACCCCCTCGCCCTGCCCCGCATAAAGGCTGTAGAGGCAGGTGTGGGGAATAAGGAGCCCCTGGAGTCCAACATGCCTGGTTTGATTGGCTCCAGATGAGTTCTGTGGCTTTGTGGCACTTAGCTCCTCTGAGCCTCAGTCTCCTCTTCGGGAGCAAGGATAGTAATACCTCCTGGAGTAGGATGTTTTGGGTATTAGATATCGTATCATTCAGTCACCAACCCAGTTCTGATAGAAATTCGGTAAGTGATCATAGCTGTGATCATTGTCGGTGCTAAACATGGGCCTCTTGAAGGCAGGGACTGGCCCCATTCACCTTTGAAGTGTCTCCCACCAGCCCATTCTGAATATAGCCAGCTTTCGGGGTGAGGGTAGGAGCTCTAGGGGAGATGAAAAGCATCCCACCTGGGTCAGGTCAGGCAGAGGCAGCAGCCATGTTCCCTTTCCTACTTTCCAGGGTTGCGGGGCACCCCCTTACTTGGGCCGGGTGGGGGCAGCTGATGAGGGGCGCACAGACACAGCGTATCGCGTGGTGGCCGATCACATCCGTACACTCAGTGTCTGCATTGCCGATGGTGTCTGCCCTGGAATGTCAGGAGCCCCGTGAGTCTGGGAAGGCTATAGAGGGGGCAGGGGCTGCTGGGGGGGTGCAGGGAAAAGGAAGGAAGGAAGTGAAGTGGGTTGGGATGAGATGGCAGGAGAAGCAGGGGAAAGGAGCCGCTTTGGGGTGGGAGCACACACTCTCGTCCTTGTCCTCCTCGCTCCCCATAGTGCTGCACAGGGGATGCTGGGAGTTCATATCTGGACTCTGAACCCCTCTAGGCTGGTTCTTCGTCAGATTCTCCGCCGAGCTGTACGGTTCTCTGCAGAGGTGTTGCGGGCACCCCCTGGCTTCCTAGGCAGCCTGGTGCCTGTAGTGGTGGAGACACTGGTAAGGGCAGAGCTTCCTCACTCCTCTGGACCTCCCAGCGCACTCAAGGAGCCTGCTGCTGAGCCCAGGCAGTAACCCCCGCCTGAGTTCCCCTCTAAATATCCAGCCCACAGTCCTGTCAAAAGGCTTAGAAAGCTGGAATTACTTACAAAAAGCAGGGAACCTTCAGGAAAACTCCTTGCCTGGGCTGCTGAGCCTTTGACCTTAGGACCACCCTCTGCCTATATCCCTTACCCCACAAGAAAATGGATTTCCCGTTTGGGCCCCTCTCCTGCCCATGAGCCCATCTGAGCCTCCAGGGTAGGCGTCCTTAGGGAGGCCCAGGGTAGGGAGGTGGAGAGAGGGCTGCTGCCTTCCCCACCTCAGCCCTTTCCATCGTTTTCAGGGGGACACTTACCCAGAACTACAGAAGAACTCTGCCCAGGTACTGGGTTTGGGTGGGGGAGGGAAGGGCTGACAAGATTGTGGGGAGAGGCTTTCCCTCCATGGAGGCTCAGCTCCACCCGCCCCGCCCTGGTGCAGATAGCCAACCTGGTGTCAGAGGATGAGGCAGCCTTCCTGGCCTGCCTGCAGCGGGGTCGGCGGGTCATCGATCGGACTTTGAGGCGCCTGGGGCCTTCGGACATGTTCCCTGGTGAGGGGTGCCTCGCTAATGCTTGAGGGCCTTACTTCAGGCAAGGGAAGGCGCTCTAGGCCAGGCTTGTGCCTCGTAGCCACCCCCTCCTCCTGCTACCCCTTCCCTGTTTTCCGTCTAACACCCAGACCTCTCTGTGGCAGGAACACCACCCTGCTTCTCCCCACTTCCCCAGTACCCGGCTGGCCCTGCCCCTGGTCTCTGCTTTCTAAGGCTGGCTTCATACCTAGAATGAGCTTCCCTTCTGTAAAGTGATGCATGCATGCCAGGGGAGTATCCCAGGCCTACCCAGTGGGGAGGGCCTGTGCTTGGCTACTGTGTGGTTAGGAAAACCCAGGCCCTTGCTTCTCCCTCACCTCATCCCCCTCCCTGTACTGCCCCTCCTTGCTCAACATCCCTTATCTTCTTTCCTCAAAGCCGACGTGGCCTGGTCCCTGTCACTGTCGGGGAATGTGGGGCTCCCCCTGGACCTGTTGGAGCTGATGCTGGAAGAGAAAGGGGTGCAGCTGGACTCTGCTGGGCTGGCACGGCTGGCCCAGGAGGAGGCCCAGGTACAGGCCAGGACATCCCACCTAGGGTTCTGTTGGGACCCTGGAGCCCTTTCCCCAGCCCTGAGTTCTAGAGAAGAACCTGCAGCTTCTGAGGGAAACAGGAGGCTGAGGTGGGGTCTGTCCGCTCATCCCAGGCCCCACCCAGCCCAACAGTAGAGAAAGATCAGTGCAGTGGGCTAAATAGGGAGCAGGATGAAAGAGGCTGGCAGTGTCCTAGAGAGGGACCTGCAGGGGCAGTGGTGGGTGAGGGGGGCCCGAGCCCAAGGCCCTGCATGATGGGTGGTTCACCGGCCAGCCCAGGATCTCTCGCAGCCAGCCAAGCCCAGAGGGCTTATTCCAGTGGGGAATGCAGGGTCCACACAGCCATGTGGCAGAGATAGGTCTTTGCAGAGGCTGACATCCCATTGCACTTTCTGTGCCCCCTTCCGTATTCACGTGCCCATCCTGCAGCATCAGGCACGGCAGGCTGAGCCAGTGCAGGAACAAGGACTGCGGCTTGACATCCATGCGCTGGGGGAGCTGCAACGCCGAGGGGTGCCCCCAACCGATGACAGCCCTAAGTACAACTACTCCCTGCAACCCAGTGGGGGTTATGGTGAGAGCCTGAACTGAGGCGGGTGGCCACAGGCTTGCCTGACCCTAATGGGGAGGGACAGTCAGAGATGGTTGCCACCAGCCCTATGCATTCCCCAGGGTAGCCAACAGGGGTCACAGCAGCCCCCAGCTGGAAGTGACCCCCAGCCACATGCCTGTTGGCTTCAAGTAAGGCACAGACTCACATCTCTTGTCCCAAACCCCAGCACTGATAACCATTCTTCACCCTGGCAGAGTTCCACACCTGTGAGGCCCAGGTGCTCCAGTTGTATACAGAAGATGGATCAGCCGTGGCCTCTGTGGGAGAAGGCCGGCACTGTGGCCTCCTCTTAGACAAAACCAACTTCTACGCTGAACAGGGGGGTCAGGCTTCAGACCGAGGCTACCTGGTACGGGTGGGACAGCAGGTAAGCACCCCCGCCACACGCACACAGAGGCTGACTTCTGCAGCAGGCAGATCTAAGCTGGGAAGGGACCCAAGGGGAAGGAAGGACTTCAAGCAGGCCTTCCAGTCCGTGGCCCCTGCCCTTCCCCAGGACGTGCTATTCCCAGTGGTCCAGGCCCAGGTCTGTGGAGGCTTCATTCTGCATGAGGCAGTGGCCCCTGAGTGCCTGAAGGTGGGGGAGCAGGTACAGCTGCATGTGGATAAGGTAACGGTCCCACTCTGCTGTTTTCATATTCTGTAGCCCCTTAACTCTCCCCACCCCTAACTCTCACCCAGGACCCTGGGTGACAAAAGTGTTTCAGGCCTGGCGTCTGGGCTGCATGGAGAAGCACACAGCCACCCACCTACTAAACTGGGCTCTGCGGCAGGCCCTGGGCCCTGGCACTGAGCAGCGAGGTTCCCATCTCAATCCTGAGCGGCTGCGCCTCGATGTGGCCACCAAGGTGAGCAGCACAGAAAGACAGGATTCAGGGGAGGCAGTCTGGGGGTAAGGGGAGTCTGAAGGCCTGGGCGATCTTTGGTGGCTGTAGTAAGGGGAGTCCAAAGTCACTATGGTATCTTGGGCGGGTGTCTTCCCGACAGGCTCCTCCCACGCCATCGAGGGGTCAGGCTAGACAGTGTGTGGGGCCTCTTGAGCCACCCAGCTTCCTTGTTCATGCTGTCACCCAAGCCATCGTGCTCAAACTGAGCTGCCCTCTCCCTTCTCAGCCACCCTGTCTCCCCTATAGGCTCAAATCCTTCCTTCAGGAAACACTCACTGACTACATCCCAATCCACCTGGTAACTCCTTGCTCGGGCATCTCTCCCATCTTATATTTCTCTTCCTTTGGGCTGTCCCTTGTAAGCTCCCTGAGTACAGAACCCCCATTTTCTGTTTCTTCATTGACTTTTTTTTTT